TGATGTTGTATCTAAGAACTCTCCCTATCCCAGGGTTGCAAAGATTTTCTTCTACGTTTTCTTCCAAAAGTTTTGTAGCTTTACATTTTGTACTTAGATCTGTGATTCCTTTTGAGTTCATTTTTGTGTATGGGGTGTGATGTATGGATCAAGGTTCATTTTTTTGCTTATGGATATCCAGTTTTTCTAGCACATTTGTTGTGCTAGAAAGGTGTTTCTAGCACCTTTTCACTTTTATCAAAAATCAGTTAACTATATTTGTGAGGCTCTATTTCTAGTCTCTATTCTGTTCTATGTCTATTCTGATCTATATCTGGCATCAGCAACCTTTTGCTTTAAAGAACCAAATCATAAACATTTTAGGTTTTGCAGGCCAAAAAGCAAAAGCCAAGGTATTATATAGGTACTTGTATAACAAGAAAGAAAATAAATTTCCATGAAATTTTTGGACAAAATTCAAAATATAAAAATTGCGTATAGTTTTTTGTAACACAGCTCTACTTAATAAGAAGAATGGAATTCTTTTTTGGGGATAGGGGTAGTTTGTGCTAAGATCACCAATGATTAATTTTGCTTGATTCGGGTTCAAAGTTAGTGCTTCCTGTCATCAAAATTGATTACAGGGCTTCCCTGGTGGCGCAGTGGTTGAGAGTCCACCTGCTGATGCAGGGGACACGGGTTCGTGCCCCGGTCCGGGAAGATCCCACATGCCGCGGAGCAGCTGGGCCCGTGAGCCATGGCCGCTGAGCCTGCGTGTCCGGAGCCTGTGCTCTGCAACGGGAGAGGCCACAACAGTGAGAGGCCTGCATACCGCAAAAAAAAAAAAAAAACTGATTACAAATGTTCATCTATTGATGCATATCTGTAATGAAATTTCACATATTTTTATCTTTGAAAATGTCTTTTCGGGACTTCCCTGGTGGCTCAGTGGTTAAGAATCCACCTGAATGCAGGGGACACGGGTTCGATCCCTGGTCCAGGAAGATCCCACATGCCACGGAGCAACTAAGCCTGTGAGCCACAACTACTGAGCCCGTGCCCCACAACTACTGAAGCCCACGTGCATAGAACCCATGATCCACAACAAGAGAAGCCACTGCAATGAGAAGCCCGCGCACCGCAACGAAGAGTAGCCCCCGCTCGCCAAAACTAGAGAAAGCCTGCGCACAGCAGTGAAGACCCAACGCAGCCAAAAATAAAAAAAATAATTTATTAAAAAAAAGAAAATGTCTTTTCACACATGTGATTCATGTAGCAGTGGAAACGCTGCAATTTGTAGAGTGCTGAAAAGCACTGCAAAGTGTTGAGAGTGCCACATAGTTTGTCATAACTACTCAGCTCTCCGTTGTAGCACAAAAGCCACCAGAGACAATATGCAAACAAATGAGCCTGGCTATGTTCCAGTAAAGCTTTATTTATGGGCACTGAAATCTGAGTTTCATATAATTTTCACTTGTCACATAATACTAAAAAAAAATTTTTTTTCAACCATTTAAAAAACATCTTTAGCTTAGGGACATATGAAAACAGGCAAAGGCTAGATTTGGCCTGTGGGTTGTAGTTTGCGTATCCCATTTCCCCCATCTATATTTCTATCCTTTTGCCAATACCACATTATCAGGATTACTGTAGCTAAAAAGTCTTGAAATCAGGTAATATGAGTCCTCCAACTTTGTTCTTTTTTGAAATTGTTTCTGGCTATTTTAACTTCTTTGCCTTTCCATATACGTTTTAGAATCAGCTTGTTGATTTCTACAGAAAATCCTACTCGGATTTTGGTTAGAATTACATTGAATCTGCAGAGCAGCTTGGGGAGAATTGACATCTTAACAACATGGAGAGAACTTGATATATTTCTCTATTTAGGTCTTTGATATCATCAGTCTTTTATAGTTTTCCGCATATAGATTTTAGATTTTGCACATGTTTTGTTAGACTTATACCTAAGTATTTCATGTTTTTTGGTCAGAGCTGTCTTTTTCTTGCGTTATGCGGGCCTCTCACTGTTGTGGCCTCTCCCATTTGCGGAGCACAGGCTCCGGACGCGCAGGCTCAGCGGCCATGGCTCACGGGCCCAGCCGCTCCGCGGCATGCGGGATCCTCCCGAAACGGGGCACGAACCCGCGTCTCCCGCATCGGCAGGCGGACTCTCAAGCACTGCGCCACCAGGGAAGCCCAGAGCTATCTTTTTTAAATGCCGATTATATCATCTTATTTCCCCCGTTTAAAACCCTTTGGTGGGTTCCTGCTGTTCTTAGGATAAACTCCATAATCTTTAAAAGCTTATAAAAGGCCCCACATGATCTGGACCCTGCTCTCTTTTTCAGCCTAATTTTATGCCATGCTTCTCCTTGCTCAAAATGTTTCGGTCTCAGACTGGCAGGAAATGGTTTTATCAACTAAGGGGTATAGCTTTTTGAATATCTGAAAGAGTAAATAAATATTTTCAAACAGACACTTGAAAAATACATTTTTACTTTATTGAAAAAAGCCATTCAGTGGCCTCCAGCAAAGAGTGAACTTAGATTTTGGCCAAGTCATTGGGCTCTCTGTGTGGAATTCTTTGATCTTTGTCTGCACTTCATCCACTGAGGCAAAGTGCTCTAAGAGTGTTGTTTACAAGGGGCATAGCTTTGTATATATTAACTAAATAAAATGTTCTTTCCTTCCTTATAAATGTGCTGAAACTTGGGTAAAGGCTGCGTTTCTGACCAAACCAAGGATCCTGTCACTGTCATTGTACAGGAATGAAGTTAAACTTTGCAGCTATTAAAATAGTTCTTACATGTACATGCCTACTGCCAGCTTTATGATAATATCCAAAGTGGAAATGTAAGACTGTAGTGGTGTTCTGTGGGAAGGTCTATAGCTATGTGCCTAAGAGAGAGACGAGAGAGAGAGAGAGAGAGAGAGAGAGAGAGAGAGAGAGAGAGAGAGAGAGAGCCACGAGATTATTTTTTAAAGATAAGCCTCAAATCCAGCACATTTAATCAACCAGTGTTTATCCAGCTCCTTATGCTAGACATACAGAGATGAGTATGATATATCCCAGGCTTAAAGAAGCTCAAAAACTAGTGTGAAAACAGACAATTAAAAATGAAAGTGCTTGTTCATGGAGGTATGTCCAAGTGGCTTCAATGGTACTCAGGAGAAATGAGTGGCCCAGCGGCATTTAGAGTATGATAAGACTAGTTGATTTTTAATACATAAGGCTAGAAGGGAGGCAAGGACTATATCATGCAAACCTAAGGGGATTGTATTCCATCCTGTAACTCAGAGGTTCCATTACCTCAATGCACATAGAATTACCTGTAGTAAAAAATCAGATTCCTGGACTCTTCCCTTAGAGATTGACTTGGGTGTTTCCCCAGGTGATTCTTACCTATCTAGCAACCCCTATCTGACATTTGGGAGCCAATGCGTTAGGTAATATTGAACCACAGAATAGTTAAGCTAGGTAATAAGATGATCATATTAGCATTTTAGAAAGGAAAATCTAATAGTAGTACAGAACAATGGAGTCAACCTGAGAATTCATTAAAATGCAAATTCTGATCCAGTAGGTCTGGGATTGGACCTAAGATACTACATTTCTTTTTTTTTCTTTTTTTCAAATTTTTATTGGAGTATAGTTGATTTACAATGTTGTGTTAGTTTCAGATGTACAGCAAAGTGATTCAGTTATACATATACGTATATTCATTCTTTTTCAGATTCTTTAAGGATCTTGAGGATAAACTGCAAGTCTAAGATAATACATTTCTAACAACCTTCAAGATGAGGCTGATACTGTTTGTCTGAGGACCATAATTTGAGTAGCAAGGGTAGAGAGGTTGGATTGGAAAGGGGTGAGACTACAGGCATGGAGATCAGTTAACAACCTATTGCAGGAATCTAGGCAAAAGATGGTGGGCATCTGAACTACTGGCAGTGTCTGGTAATGGAAAGGAGTTCCAGTGAAATGTAATAGATAAAATTGGCAAGACTAGGGACTTCCCTGGTGGTCCAGTGGGTAAGACTCTGTGCTCCCAATGCATGGGGCCCAGGTTTGATCCCTGGTCGGGGAACTAGATGCCACAACTAAGAAGTCTGCACACCGCAACTAAAAAAAGAGCCCACATGCCGCAACGAAGACCTGGCGCAGCCAAAGTATATATGTGTGTATATTGTGGCCTCTCCCGTTGCAGAGCACAGCCTCCGGACCCGCAGGCTCAGCGGCCATGGCTCACGGGCCCAGCCGCTCCGCGGCATGTGGGATCTTCCCGGACCGGGGCACGAATCCGTGTCCCCTGCATTGGCAGGCGGACTCTCAACCACTGCGCCACCAGAGAAACCCTAAATAAATATTTTTTAAAAATAAAAAAAAATTGGCAAGACTAATTTACAAAAGGATTTAGGATGTGGCGTTAGAAGTGAGGGGAGGGGTGTCAAGAATGGTCTGAAGGTTGAAGCTTAGCTATATAGGTGGATGATAGTGACAGTAACTGAACTAGGATAAAGACAGAGGAAGAAGGTGACATGGAGGGTAGAGGAGGGCCGGTTAGAGTACAAAAGTTCCTTAGAGTTGAGAAAAGAGGTGGACAGAAGATTAGTCCTGAATGCACTGTGTTTGAGGAGTCTATGAGATATCCAAATATAAAGGGTGGGCAGAAGAAGAGGAACCCACAATGGACCAAGAAGCTTCAGGTTGGAGGATAACAGAAAGAACGGTTTCAAAGACATTTCCGGGAGGGGAAGCTCACAGTATCATTGTCACAGAGACATCAAATGAAATGTTATACTTGGTTCAATGAGAGTGCATAAAATTATGGTTAAAAAACTAACATTCCAAAACTGCTGATTAGCCAAAGAGAGTTCATAAAGTGCCCAAATTAGTTTATCTCTCAATCTTTTATTTTAAGGAAAAGTTGGAGCCAGTATTTTCAAATCATTCATCATGATAAGCCTCATAGTACCTTTTCCATTCAGATTTTCTTCTTCTCTCCCCCTTCCCCCAACAGATTGATCACACTTACAAGAGCTGCTATGAAACATAGGGGAGGTGAAAACTAACAGATGAAAGTTTTGCCATGCACTGAAAGGAAAGCGTTGTCTGTGAAGTTCTATTTTTAAAAATGTCTGCTTGTAATACCTTTACTGAACACGTTTGGAAACCTGGTGAATGCAAGAACTGCTTTAAACCTAAAAGCTTACATCAGCTCCCCCCAGACCCTGAGAAGACACCCATCACCCATGGCAATAAAACTAATGCCAATCAGAGTAACAACCACCGAATCAGGAACACGGGAAATTTCCGGCCTCCTGTGGCTAAAAAACCCACTATAGCTGTGAAGCCCACTATGATGGTGGCAGATGGGCAAAGTATGTGTGGTGAGCTTAGTATCCAAGAACACTGTGAGAACAAACCTGTCATCATAGGATGGAACCGAAACAGGATGGCCTTGAATCAGAAACCACTTAATAATAATAATGAAGATGATATTGCAGGATTTAGCCATGTTCCTAAGCCTTATGGGAATAATGATAGTGCAAAGAAGATATCAAATAACAATAGTGGACTAACTGAGGTGTTAAAGGAGATAGCAGGCTTGGATACCACCCCTCAAATAAAAGGAAATGAAACCAACTCCAGAGAAACATTCTTAGGAAGAATAAATGATTGCTATAAACGATCACTGGAAAGAAAGCTTCCACCAAGTTGCATGATGGGCGGAATAAAGGATACTCAGGGCAAGCATGTTATTCTGAGTGGGAGCACAGAAGTGATCAGTAATGAAGGGGGTCGATTCTGTTACCCAGAGTTTTCTAGTGGCGAAGAGAGTGAGGAAGATGTGCTTTTGAGTAACATGGAGGAGGAGCACGAGAGCTGGGATGAGAGTGATGAGGAACTGCTGGCCATGGAGATTCGCATGAGAGGGCAACCTCGCTTTGCCAACTTTAGGGCAAACACTTTGTCTCCTGTTCGATTCTTTGTGGACAAAAAATGGAATACTGTTCCCCTGCGAAATAAATCTCTGCAAAGAATCTGTGCTGTAGACTATGATGACAGTTATGATGAAATCCTGAATGGTTATGAAGAGAATTCTGTGGTCTCCTATGGACCAGGAAGCGTTCAGAGCATAGTGTCATCTGACTCCACATCCCCAGATTCCTCTTTAACAGAAGAATCACGTTCTGAGACAGCCAGTAGTTTATCCCAGAAGATTTGTAATGTGGGAATAGCTCCTGGTAACCCGGGAGATTCTAAGGACATGAAGGAAAGTGAGCCCAATTATGAAAGCCTCTCTGGTAATAATCAGGAGAAGGACTCAGCACAAGCATCCAAAAGCTCAATAAAAGTTCCAGAGACGCACAAAGCAGTCCTTGCTCTCCGATTAGAAGAGAAGGATGGCAAGATTGCCGTACAAACTGAGAAGCAAGAAAGTAAAGCCCCTACAGATACTACTGGGCAGGCAGTAACAATAAACCTCGTTCCTGTAGAAGAGCAAGCAAAGCCCTACCGAGTTGTGAATCTGGAACAGCCTTTGTGCAAGCCATATACTGTCGTGGATGTGTCAGCTGCCATGGCCAGTGAGCATCTCGAGGGCCCTATTAACAGTCCCAAGACGAAAAGCTCATCTTCTACTCCAAACTCTCCAGTGACATCACCCACACTGACATCAGGACAAATAAGTGCCCATTTCCAAAAATCCAGTGCGATCCGCTACCAGGAAGTATGGACTTCCAGTACCAGTCCACGACAAAAGATACCTAAGGTGGAATTAATTAGCGGTGGGACCGGACCAAACGTCCCTCCAAGGAAAAACTGTCACAAATCAGCCCCTACTTCACCCACAGCTACAAACAGTTCCTCCAAAACCATCCCTGTTAAGTCACCTAATCTGTCTGAAATAAAATTTAATAGTTATAACAATGCCGGTATGCCACCTTTTCCAATTATCATTCATGATGAGCCAACTTATGCTCGGAGTTCCAAAAATGCTATCAAAGTTCCCATTGTAATCAATCCAAATGCATATGACAATCTAGCCATTTACAAAAGTTTTCTCGGAACAAGTGGAGAACTTTCAGTGAAGGAAAAAACCACAAGTGTGATAAGCCATACTTATGAAGAAATAGAAACTGAAAGCAAAGTGTCTGATAACACCACTAGCAAAGCCACTGAATGTCCCCAAGCTAAAGGGTTTTTAAACAGCACAGAGCGTAAAAGGGGTTCAGTGGCTCAGAAGGTTCAGGAGTTTAACAGCTGTCTTAACAGAGGTCAGTCCTCACCACAGAGGAGCTACAGTTCCAGCCACAGCTCCCCAACAAAGCTCCAGAGAACCACTCAAGAACCTGTGGCCAAAACAGAAAGCACTCAGGAGTCTCCGATAGTGAGCAGCAGCAGCGCCAGGGAGAAGGCAAGCACTGTGCTTTCTCAGATCGTGGCATCTATCCAGCCCCCACAGTCTCCTCCAGAAATGCCCCAGTCTGGCCCTAAAGCTTGCAGTGTGGAAGAGCTTTATGCCATTCCTCCCGATGCCAGTGCTGCTAAGAGTACGCCTAAGAGTACACCAGTCCGGCCCAAGTCTCTCTTCACATCCCAGGCCAGTGGTGAGGCTGAAGCACCTCAGACCACAGAAAGTCCTACCACCAAAGTACAGAAAGATCCACTCACAAAGCCAGTCACCACCCCTCCCTCCAAATTAGTGACTAACCCCCAAAGTGAGCCGCCACCCCCCTTTCCCCCACCACGCTCGACTTCCTCCCCTTACCATGCAAGTAACCTTTTGCAGAGGCATTTCACCAACTGGACCAAGCCAACTAGCCCTACCAGGTCAACGGAAGCTGAATCAGTTTTGCACTCTGAAGGCAGCAGGCGGGCCGCTGATGCAAAACCTAAACGCTGGATATCATTTAAAAGTTTCTTCCGCCGTCGGAAAACAGATGAAGAGGACGACAAAGAAAAAGACCGAGAGAAAGGGAAACTGGTGGGCCTGGATGGCACAGTCATCCACATGCTGCCCCCTCCTCCAGTTCAGCGCCATCACTGGTTCACAGAGGCAAAAGGAGAGTCCAGCGAGAAGCCAGCCATCGTCTTCATGTACAGGTGTGACCCTGCCCAAGGCCAGCTCAGTGTGGATCAGGGCAAAGCCAGGGCAGAGCAGTCAGCAGTCACAGAGAAGGGCAGAGCAGAGGATGGGTTACTACAGGACTCAAAGAAGAAAAGGAGTCATTCTTCTCCATCACAGATTCCTAAGAAAATTCTCAGGTATGTAAAATATCCTGGCAGAATGTGGGAATTTTTTTAAACGCATTTTCAGTTGCTAAGTTTTTTGCATCTTTAAGATTGTTTGAGAGCCATTTTTGTTTGTAAGTAGCACTCAGCGACCATCATCTATCTTTTCAACTGCATTTCAAGATTAGAATATTATTAAAGTGATCTTATTGCACTGAACAAGGTTTATGGCCCTGGATCTTTAGCTAAAGTAGCCTGCTGCATTCTGGTAAATGCAGAGGGGCTTTAAAAGAAAAGCAAATCCATAATACTTTAAGAGCAATAAATAATTTGTTGCTTTGAACTGCTATGATAGTGTGAGGAAGAAACAGGATCAAATGAATAAATGGTGATACTATTCTTTCCTTCACTATAAATGAAATCAAACTCTTAAGCATTTTTTTTTTTTTTTGGCTTTCACCAAGGTGTTATCTCTATCTCCATTATTTTTTTTAAGGGAATATTTGTTTTTTTTATTTCTGTCTCTTTCTGTCCCTATTTCATGTGTTGTGGAAAGGTGGGGGAAAGGGCAAGCAGTTTATAGTTTTTTAACATGTAGGTGAAATAAGAGAAGTTGGTTTCTGAGATTGAGACCCAGTGATATAATTCTCAATCCAACTAGGCAAATTGTACACCCACACCAGTTCTCTAAGCATCAGTTTTCTTTAATACTTGAATAACTGTTTATTGATCACCTAGCCTGTATAAGGCACATCCCAAATATTTATCTCAAATCCTTGTAACAGCCCTACAAACTGAAAATTAGAGAAATTAGAATTGGCCAGATTCACACAGTTAGTAATTGTCAGAGGGAGAATTCAAACCTTGATCTGTCTCACTGTAAAACTGGTATTCTTCCTATAATGTTGCATTGTTAATGAACATAAAATCAAACAAAATTTTTATATTTTCACTTGTAATCATTCACATAAACATTTATGTTTAGGAAGCCTAAGTTTTTTCTTTCTCATTTGTATTTTAATCAAAATTAATGTACTGCCAATAAAAACAAGGAACTGTTATCCAAGTTTGTATTAACAAATGGGATGATTTCCTTATATCCCCTGTCCTTTCTGTTCCTAGCAAAGATATGCCCTGAGTCGTCCATTCATCTGATTCTGAGTCTTCCTCCCTCTTGATTTACAGTGAACCTTCTCTACCAGGCCTGGCTTCCTCCCAGCAAAGACAGAAAACTCTGATTCAGAGCAGATTCTCTCACCAGCTTTTCTTTAGAAAAGTGTAAATAAAAATGAACACTTAATGCCTTCACTTTTTCTAGCAAAATGCCAGGAAGTTTTATATATATTCTTTACTAAAATAAGCTTTTTACATACCCCCAGCTAGTCAAAATGCTAACAAGTTCCTATTTTCCTTAAATCCATGTAATAACAAAGCAAGTAGAATAGTGGAATATATTTCTGGGTAGAATAGGCTTGTCATTGGTAGTTGAAAGTAGTAGTAATAAAACACACGTATCGCAGGTTGCTGTTTTATATAGAAAAGAAGCAATTTAAACAGCACATGGTTGGAGTTACCTATGACGGAATGGCAGATAGTTCTTGCAGATCAATAAATGGCTTTACTCCTCATTAAGTATGGCTGTGGTGTGTTTATCCGCATCCTGGAAGGCAGAGTCAAGGAATAATTTGGCTTCTCTTCCGTGGAATGAGATTTCTCTACTTTGGCTGCGTGCCACTGTATATAGGCTTGAGGATAGCCTGGGTCCTTGGTATGGCAGACCTCTTACTATACAGCTTATATTTTCACAGATTTGCTTGTATATGGACCAATCGTATCTTCCAAAATTTATTAGTTCTTTATAGGTAACATTCATTTATCCAAATGATGCAGCACATTTGCCCCATTGGTTGTCAGGTTTAACCATGCATCACAATAAATGGAGGGCTATTAAAACACAAATTGCTGGGCCCCTCCTCCAGAGCTTTTGATTCAATTGGTCTGAGTTGGGTCCTTTCTAACAAGTTCCCAGGTGATGATGATGTTGCTAATCCTAGGGCCACACTTTGAGAACCACTGGTCTTCCCACCATTCTTAAGATATGTACTGTAGTCTAAGTAAAGCAAATTTGAGGTATTAAGCTTTTCGTAGAGGCACACTGGAATTCTCACATTTCATAAGGTCCCAGACTAAGTAGAAAAAGAGGTATTAGCATCAAATAGGTTTTTTTTTTTTAACTTTTTAAAACTTGAATACTCATGTTGAAAAATATACACCATTTGCTTTTCCAACAGTTACTTCATTTACTTGGATACACCATTTTTGGCTATACACGGGCCTCACTGTTGTGGCCTCTCCCTTTGCGGAGCACAGGCTCCGAACGCGCAGGCTCAGCGGCCATGGCTCACGAGCCCAGCCACTCCGCGGCATGTGGGATCTTCCCAGACCGGGGCACGAACCGGTGTCCCCTGCAACGGCAGGCGGACTCTCAACCACTGCGCCACCAGGGAAGCCCCACCATTAGTATTTACTTGGAGCATCTTTGAGAGGAAAAACATTACTGTCAAATGTCAACATTTATGTTTCCAGCTTGATGGCAGTGTAATCATTAAATTACCATCCCACGGCTGGGAACACATTGCTAGAAGAAATGAAAATGCCAGTTTTTCTATAAGTAAATGAAGATTCCAAATCTAAACAGTATATAATCAAAATGCCAGTTTTTCTATAAGTAAATGAAGATTCCAAATCTAAACCGTATATAAGGAATGAAAAATACTCTACTGAAGGCCAAACTCTAGGCTCTGAAAGATGAGGGACTTTGTAGAGTCTTGCATTATGAGATGAGATTGTTACGAAGTTCATTTATTTGCCTGTTCAGGCAACATAAATTGAATATCTTAACTGTGCTGTATATGTGCCATAGGGATAAATAGGGGGAAAGATTACCATACTGCTGAAATAGTGGGCTTGGGTTTGACTTCAGTTTCAGCTATCTATCTGGTCCTTCAGTGTATAGTGGCTGTAATGATACCTATCACATAGAATTGATTGAGGATATAATAAGAAAATACGTAAAAGACTTAGCACAGGGTCTGGCACATAGTGGGTACTTGAAAATGATACTAGCCCCTCTGCCCTCAATGTGATAAATGCTAAAACAACGTATGTTCAGAGTGGCACAGAAGCGCAAAAATCAGAGGGATTAAATCAGCTTAAAAGACAAGAAATCAGGGCTTCCCTGGTGGCGCAGTGGTTCAGAGTCCACCCGTCGATGCAGGGGACACGGGTTCCTGACCCGGTCCAGGAAGATCCCACATGCCGCGGAGCGGCTGGGCCCGTGAGCCATGGTCACTGAGCCTGCGCGTCCGGAGCCTGTGCTCCGCAACGGGAGAGGCCACAACAGTGAGGGGCCCGTGTACCGCAAAAAAAAAAAAAAAAGACATGAAATCAGCTTCTCAGAGATGAAATACAAACCAGATCGTAAAAGACAAATAAGATTTTGCCAGCAGGCTGAGGAAGACACTGTAGGCAAAAGGAACAATATATGCAGTCATAGATGATGATGACAAACAGAAGCAGGACCGGTGACTGGAAAAGGATAATGAATAGACCAGTGGTTCTTCAAATGTGGTCCATGCAAGGTCAAATAGTGACCATGTAAAAGTCACCATTTTCATAATAATACTAAGACATTATTTGTCTTTTTCACTGTGTTGACATTTGCACTGATGATACAAAAACAATAATGGGTAAAACTACTTATACCTGCACAAATCAAAACCATGGCACCATATGGTACTAGTAGCTTTAAAAAACAAACACCAGTTTCACTTAAGAATGTCCTTGATGAAATAGTAAATTTTATTAAATCTCAACCCTTGAATATATGTCTGTTTAAAAATTCTGTGTGATAAAATGAGAAGTACACAGGGAGTACTTACGCTGCATACCACAGTATGGCTGTCTCAAGGAAAAGCTCTTGTAAAATAGTTTGAGTTTCAAAATTTGAATTACAAAGCTGAACCAGCACCTTTTTCATGGACCACCTTGAAAGAACAAGGGTCAGACCAGCTGTGGTTATACAGACCTGGGTGTTTGGCAGATATCTTCTTAAGGAACATAGTGAGCCTATTACTTCAAGGAGAACAACTGACAGTATTTGTTGTCAATAATAAAATTCATGCTTTCAAGCAAAATAAGAACTTTTGCAAACTTGTATCTGCTACCATGACAGCTTCCTAATACTTAAACATTTTTTCTGATGAGATTGGTGGTGGCATTAGCAAAAAAGATTGTTAAAATTATATAATGAAATGTGTCAACATTTGGAAGATCCACATAACTCAGTGAACTGGTTATTTCCAAATGACCCAATGCAGGATGTTACAGAATTATGCATGAGTAAAAGATCCATTGAAGCTGCAAGTTAGACTGAGGGATTTAATGTAACTGAGTACAAAAAGTTCATTGGTATGGTTTTAGATTCCATACTGCAAGTAACTTTTAAGAAACTACCACTTGCCATCCACGATTATCTAGAAGACTATAAATACTACCTTTCCCACCTACATATGTGGATCTTTTTCATATACTTTAACCAAAGCAACATAGCAGATCAAATGCAGAGGCACATATGAGCATTCAGCTGTCTTCTATTAAGCCAGATATTAAAGAGATTTGAAAAAAATATTATTTTGGTTAATATTTAAAGTTTTTACTATTTTTAAATGAATTAATTATTTTTTAATTTTTCAGTTTTAATTTCTAATATAATAAATGTCAATAGATATAATCCACATAAGCAAGAGCCCTTACAGTTCTCAATAATTTTTAAGAGAAAAAAAAGTTTGAGAACTGCTGAGAAAGACTAAAGAGCCTTGCATGCTACATTGAAATGTTTGGCCTTTATGTTATAGATTTTGTAGCAGAAATAGTTTTTAAGGATGAAAGTAGTGTGATTTTCTTTTTTAAATAAAATCTCTACTGGCAGCAGTATTAAAAATGAACTGGAAGGGGAAAATATTGGTGACAGG